CCCCCCCCCCCAGGGCTCATAAGCTCCCCAGCCTGACCGCCGCACCCCAGCTCCTCCCCGTTAGGAGTCCCGTTTCCTCCCGTGCCCCCAAAAGGCCCTGTTGCCCCCCTCTGTTCGTTGCCTCCCTTGCTTGCCCCAGACTAACCTGGCTGAGGCCTTGACTTTGGCCTGGCCGGTGAAGACGCGGACAAAAACTCTCACGTAGAAGTCAGCGCTGACGCTGAGCAGTGGCACCACAAAGCGCTGGTAGCAGTTGGCTCGGAGGTCCAGGCTGTGCAGGACGATCCTCAGGGCCTGAGGGTGGGAGGCCGGCATCAGCCAGCAGCCCTGCCTCCACGGACGCCTCCCAGCTACCCTGGGGCCACACCAGGTGCTCATAAGCACAGGCTCAGGGGCGGCTCCCTGGTGTTGCAAGCCCAGGCCCAAGCGTCCTGGCTGTGTGACCCCTGCCAAGTGAATGCCTCAGTTCCCCCATCGACGGGATCACAACAGTCTATGTCTCTTTATGGGCCTCCTGGGGGTGCTACGTGGTTACGGAGCGCACAGGCCCGCCATCCAGGGCAGCAACATCCGTGTGCCCCGCGCTATGCGATGTGCTCCAAGGACCTGTGTTCCGGTTTTCCAGACTGACCTGGTGACAGGGCCCTTACGGAACAAAGCCAGGCCATCCTCCTTTCCGGCCCCCGCCCTCTCGAATCCCCACGGCAATTCACCATCGTGCGCATTTCACAGAGGCCAAAAGCGAGGCCCAGGAGGGTGAAATGAATCACCCAAAGGCGCCAGCAAAGCTAGGATTTGAACCCAAAGCCAAACCCACTCCTGAAAACTGTCCTAAATAACAATTTTGAACGAGTTGTTAAAACCGAGGGCACTAGGAAAAATAATGCGGCCACTGGCTCCCGCCCTGGGCAAAACCGCTGCCGTCCGAGTGACCAGAACTGGAAGTCCGGGCTCTAGAACTATTCTGGCTATAGACCTGCTTGTCTTTAACATCTTGGGACGGATCTGGCCCCTGCTGCCTGGAGGAAGCGAAGCAGGTCTGCCGGGTGGGAAGGGGTGGGGGGAGGGCGGCTCACCATCTCATGGCAGGCCCGGCTCTTGAGGGCCATGGCCCCGTACTTGCTGTAACAGGTCTCCCCGCTGTTCCCCGCCAGCACTGCCATGTCGGTGCAGGTGACGCACAGCAGACCTGCAAGGAAGGCCTGAGCGGTGAGGATCCTCCAGAAACCCCGAGCCCTGCTCTGTGCCCAGGTCAGTGTGGCCTCACCTCCTTCGCTCACAGCCTGCACGGCTGCATCCAAGAAGGGGGCGGGGCTGCCATACGGGTCCAGGTCGATGACGTCAAACCGCTCCGATGCCCTCTGGTGCTGGTACATCAGCATCCTGGGAGCAAGAAGGCCCCGGTCCTCAGCCCCCTACATTAGGGACCTGCTCTGTCCCCTACACGTGTCCTCTCATTGGGTGTGATGGTTTCGGCCTGCATTTGGAGGCCAGCTGGCTAGGTTCGGACCCTGGGCTGGCCATGTGCTAACCAACCACGTGACCCTTCTTCCTTGGACCTCAGTGTACTCGTGTCTAACAACAGCAATAATAATAGCCAATGGTGATGTGACATACATATGCCTGACAACTGTTTCAAGCCGTTTATAGATTAACTCATTTAATCAAATAACCTTCCAGGCAAATCTTAAGGAATCATTATCGTTTCCTTTGTAGGTGAGGAAATGCAAATGCTGTCTTCTCCAAGTTGCCAACCCTAACTGTTATTTAAAATTGCAACCTGGGGCGCCTGGGTGGCTCAGTGGGTTGAACGTCCGACTCTTGATTTTGGCTCAGGTCACCATCTCACAGTCCATGAGTTCGAGCCCCGAATCGGCTCTGCTTGGGATTCTCTCTCTCCCTGTCTCTCTCTGCCCCTCCCCCGCTCATGCTCTGTCTCAGTCTCTCTCTCAAAAATAAACATTGAAAAACACTTTTAATAAAAAATAAAATAAAATGAAATGAAATAAAATAAAATATATAAAATTACAACCCATCCACCACCTTCCTCCATCCCCTCCAACCTCCAGTTTTTTCCCAGAGCACTTTTCACCTTTTACTTTTCTTTTCTTTTTCTTTTACTTTTCTTTTTACTTTTTCACCACTTTTACTATATAGTTTGCTCATTGATCTGGCTGTCACTGTCTTTGTTTCCTATCAGATTCCAATACAGTCCAGAAAACAAATACTTTTTCTTTATTTGTGCTCTGTAAAAAGTCAGATAGTAAATATTTTAGGCTTTGTGGGCCACAAACGGTGCCTTGTTTTTTTTTAAACCCTTTAAAAATGCAAAAAACATGGGATGTCTGCCTCAGCCGGTTGAGGGTCCAACTCTTGATTTCGGCTCAGGTCATGATCCCAAGGTCGAGGGATGGAACCCCCACACTGGGCTCTGCGCTGAGCAGGCAGCCTGTTTGGGATTCTCTCTCTCCCTCTGCCCCTCTCCCCACTCTCCAGCAAGTGCGAGCGCTCTCTCAAGAAAAGAAAAGAAAATGCAAAAAACATTCTTAGCTGGTGGGCCAAAAAAAAAAAAACAACAACCCAGGCTCTGGCCTCCCAGGGGGCCTCCCAGGCTGCTGTTTGCTGGACCCCAGCATTAGAATGTGAATGCCCCAAGGTCAGGGGTTTTGCCTATTTTGTTTACTGATGCCTGGCACATTGTGGATACTCGCTTTGTGCTGGCTCATTTGAATGAATAAAAGTACCAGAAGTTGAGAAGTCAAGTCTACAATGGAAACCATAGCAAAACAATCCGTGTGATTTATCACATCAATTAAAGAAAGGACAATAACCACGTGATCCTCTCAATAGATGCAGAGAAAGCATTTGACAAAATCCAGCATCCTTTCTTGATAAAAACCCTCAAGAAAGTAGGGACAGAAGGATCATACGTCGGGATCATAAAAGCCATATATGAAAGACCCGCGGCTAACATCATCCTCAGTGGGGAAAAACTGAGAGCTCTCCCCCTAAGGTCAGGACCACGACAGGGATGTCCACTCTCGCCACTGCTATTTAACGTAGTATTGGAGGTCTTAGCCTCAGCAATCAGACAACACAAAGGAATAAAATGCATCCAAATCGGCAAGGAGAAGTCAAACTTTCATTCTTTGCAGGATGACATGATACTCTATATGGAACACGCAAAAGATTCCACCAAAAAACTGCTGGACTGATCCACGAATTCAGCAAAGTCGCAGGATATAAAATCAATGCACAGAAATCAGTTGCATTTCTATACACCAATAGTGAAGCAACAGAGAGAGAAATCAAGGAATTGATCCCATTTACAACTGCACCAAAAACCACAGAGTATCTAGGAATGAACCTAACCAAAGAGGTGAAAAATCTATATGCTGAAAGCTAAAGAAAACTTATGAAAGAAACTGAAGACACAAAAAAATGGAAAAAGATTCTATGCTCCTGGGTTGGAAGAACAACTATTGTTAAAATGTCGATACTCCCCAAAGGAATCTACATATTCAATGCAACACCTATCAAAATAACACCAGCATTCTTCACGGAGCTAGAACAAAAAACCCTAAAATCTGAATCAGAAAAGACGCTGAATAGCCAAAGCTATCCGGAAAAAGAAAACCAAAGCAGGAGGCATCACAATCCCGGACTTCACGCTGTATTCCAAAGCTGTAATCATCCAGACAGTATGGTATTAGCTCAAAAACAGACACTCAGATCAACGGGACAGAACAGAGAACCCAGAAATGGACCCACACACATATGGCCAACTAATCTTCGACAAAGCAGCAAAGACTATCCAAAGGAATAAAAACAGTCTCTTCAGCGAATAGTGCTGGGAACACTGGACAGCAACAGGCAGAAAAATGAACCTGGACCACTTTCCTACACTATACACAAAAAGAAACTCAAAATGGATGAAACACCTGAATGTAAGTCAGGAAGCCATCAAAATCCTCGAGGAGAAAGCAGGCAAAAACCTCTCTGGCCTCGGCCACAGCAACTTCTTACTCAACAGGTCTCCGGAGGCAAGGGAAACAAAAGCAAAAATGAACTATTGGGACCTCATCAAAATAAAAAGCCTCTGCACAGCGAAGGATTCAGCAAAACTAAAAGGCACCCAACAGAATGGGAGAAGACATGTGCAAACGACGTATCAGACAAAGGGTTAGTGTCCAAAATCTAGAAAGAACTTATCAAACTCAACACCCAAAAAACAAATAACCCAGTGAAGAAATGGGCAAAACACATGAATAGACACTTTTCCAAAGAAGACATCCTGGCTAACAGACACATGAAGAAATGCTCAACATCACTCACCATCAGGGAAATACAAATCGAAACCCCAATGAGATAGCACCTCACATCTGTCAGAATGGCTCACGTTAACAACTCCGGCAACAACAGATGTTGATGAGGATGCAGAGAAAGAGGATCTCTTTTGCCCTGCTGGAGGGAATGCAAACTGGTGCAGCCACTCTGGAAAACAGTATGGAGGTTCCTCAAAAAATTAAAAATAGAACTACCCTATGACCCAGCAATGGCACTACTAGGTATTTATCCAAGGATACAGGTGTGACGTTTCAAAGGGGCACATGCACCCCCATGTTTATAGCAGTGCTAAGGACAATAGCCAAAGTATGGAAAGAGCCCAAATGTCCGTGGATGGGTGAATGGATAAAGAAGATGTGGCATATACATATACAAATACGTATATATATGTATATATGTGTGTGTATATATATATATATGTACATATATATATATACACACACACACAATAGTGTATTACTCGGCAATCAAGAATGAAATCTTACCATTTGCAACTACACGGATGGAACTAGAGGGTATTATGCTAAGCGAAATTGGTCAGCCAGAGAAAGACAAATCTATGACTTCACTCATATGAGGACTTTAAGATATAAAACAGATGAACAGAGGGGAAAGGAAGCAAAGATGATATAAAAACAAGGAAGGGGGACAAAACACAAGAGACTCTTAAATACAAGGAACAAACTGAGGGTGGCTGGAGGGGTTGTGGGGGGGGCGCCCCCTAAATGGGTAAGGGACATTAAGGAGGACACTTGTCGGGATGAGCACTGGGTGTTATACACACGGGATAAATCACAAAATCTATTCCTGCAAACATAATTGCACTATATGCTAACTAACTTGGATGTGAATTAAAAACTGAATTATTAAAAAAAATAAAAGTAAAATGGAAACCATAGGGGAATCTGGGTGGCTCAGCTGGTGGACCACTCAGTGACCTGTGACCAGCTTGGGCCATGGTCCTGGAGGTCATGGGATGGAGCCCTACTCCACCCTTAGCATGGAGCCTGCCTGAGATTCTCTCTCTCCTTCCCTCTGTCCCCTCTCCCCCTCTCCCCTGCTCGTGCACTCTCTGTCTCTAGAATAAGAAAATAAATACAAATGAAAATAAAATGGAAACCATAATGGGACTTATTTCTGGCTATCTAAGCATCATCTCTCACTTAATCAACAGAGCAACTCCTGTAATACTAACATTCTCATTTTATAGACAAGAAAATGGGGGCTCAGAGAGGCTAAGGCACTCTCCCAAAGCCAAAGAGCAAGAATAGGACGGACTTAGGACTTGAGCCCAGGCAGCCTTGCTCTGGCATGCACGTTCCAGCCATCAGGCTCGGCTGCCCCAAACCTACCTGGCATCGGCCTGCCTGGGATGTACCAGGTGGGCCACAGCGTTGAGCTGCACATTACGGCACATGAGATCCACGGCTCGGGCAGAGGCATCGTTGGCAACTACAGACTGGAGTCCAGGCACCTCTCGTGCAAAGCGAATGGAACGTAGGCCCGAGGCTGCCAGACCCTCTAGCACTCGAAGGCCTTCCTGTTGGAGTAATCAGGGAGCCCCACTCACGTGGATACCTCTATCCTCTGCTGGGCCCCAAGGAGCCCCCACCACCCACTTCCTATAGCTCTCCGGCCTCAGGAGCCTTCCTTCCTCCATTACTGGAGGACTCGGGGGCCGCCACCTCCTCTGTCCAGGCCCCACCTCGCAGATCTCCCCAACGGCAGCCGTTCGAGGTTGGTCTCCCGGGGCCAGGTTTGCACCCTTTTTCAGTTCAGCCTTTTCCTCCTCTTGCTCTGACAAGTCCACGACCACCTTTTGCACGTCCTTCTCACCTGGCACCTTGACTGCAGCCACCCAGAAGCACAAGTCAGGGGTCTCAAAGCTCCCTCTGAGAGACCTCCCCCTATTCCTCAGTATACAGAAGATTCATGGGAGAAAATCTTCCTCAAAGCCCCTGGGGAAAGCCTGAAGGAAATGAACCCAGGGCCTGCAAGGTGCCTGCAGCCTTTTAGAACTTTAAGGGAAAGGGGGCAGGGCAGGGCAGGGAGAGAGCTCTGCGTGACCCCGGCCCACAGGGAGACTGGACCTCAACTCACTCTGGATTCCTTTGGCCCCAAGCTGAATGCGAGCAAACTCGGTGATCACGGCACATCTGCGGGAGAGATGGGGGGTTGGTTAGCTCACACTCCCTCAACCTTGCAGATGCACTGCCCTCTGCCAAGCTGATCCCACACCCCTGCTCACGTCAGGTCCCGGTTGAACTCTTGCACCGGGTTGTAGAAGACTTCGTTGGCGCTGGGGAAGGCTATCTTGGCGGCCCCCTCGGTGACCGTCGTCTCCTGAGCCTCGGATGCTCGCTCTTCTCCGCAGGGCTCGGTGCCGTTCTCCATGCCGGCTGGATTCGGCGGCCCTTGCGGCTGCCCCTCCATAAACCCGGCTCTGCAGAGACTGCGCGTGGAGCGGAGAGTTAGACTTAGCCACAGACCGATTCTCGCACGGGGCATCCGCGGGAGCCTCTCCCTGCCGAGCCTGGTTTGGGGGGGGGGGGGCGGGGGACGGCACAGGAAGAGCATCAGGGAGCTGCGTCCCCGGGCCAGGTGGCCTATACATCAGTAAAGATTAAGACCCTGCGGCCTCGGTAAGCTGACACTACACCCCATCTTCGGAGTACCGGCCCCTGAGAAGCCAGAGGCCAGAAGCCCTCTAGCGGGCCCGACACCGGCCTGGATCCCTCCCCGCGTCGCCCAGGTCCTTCTCACCTTCGCTCCCGGCGTCCAGGACCGTATTAGCCTGGGTGCACGTTTCCCGGATTAGGACCTGGGCGTCGCCATGTTGGCACAGTGGGAGGGCAGGTCACATGATAGAATTTAGCCAGTCAGTGATGCTACCTACAGTGGGTGGCCGGGATCAAAATGTACGGCGGAAAGCTCGGAAAGTGTAGTGTGGATAGCCTTAATCACGTCGGCTCCCCTGGGAGGGGACGCATCACTCGCCCCATTTCACGGATGAGGAAGGTGAGGCTCAGAAAAGGGGCGGTAAGCGGAGAAATTCAACATCTACTGATCGGCTTCTGTGCACTGAGTGCTGTAAGCACATTATTTCAGGGCACTCTGCAGGAATAATTAAGGCTCTGAAATCAGATTTACTGAGTTTGAATCCCAGTCCTATCACATGGTCTTGGCAAGTTACTTAAACTCTCTGGGCTTCACTTTCCTTACCTGTTAAATAGGAATGCTAACTTCCAATATAGAGCAAAAATTAAGGGACCGAATGCCTGGAAAGTGTGCAAAGCATCCCCTCTTACGTAGTAAGTTCTCAGTAGGTTCTAACTGTGTAGGACGGGAGGGGAGCATAGTGGCCTGCACTGCCTGGATTCCAGTCCCAGCTAGCCTTGCTACTTGTTCTTGTCTCCATCTATGCTTAAGTTTGCCCATTTGCAAAATGGACATAACTTTTTAACGTTCGTTGTTGTGTTGTGGTGAGTTTTAAACGACTTAGTGCAGGTTAAATGCTTAGAACAGAATCAGGTGTGGCATAAACATGAAAGCATTAATTTCATCGTCGATTCTTGATTCGGGGTTTGAATCCTGGCACCCTCCATCACGTACTTGCTGGTAATCTTCAGTAGGTATTTTTCATTTCTGTGTGCCTCTCTTTCTATGAAGGGTGTATAAGTGTGTAGTCATTTCTACTTAAAAATGTTACTGTGGCATTTAAAGAGATAATGCCCATTAAGTGCCTAAAACCGTGCCAGGCACAATAAATAGAAGTCATTGTTGTTTTCGTTTTACAGGAAACGAATGATCGAAAAGGCGAAGAGACTTGTCCAAGGTCGCGGAACTAGGAAGTGGCGGGGTCGGGAGTCGAATTCTCCGGCAGATCAAGGAACAGGCGGGGGACCCTGAGGGGCGAAGGGAGAAAACCGAGGTGAGAAGGGGCGCGCTCGGCGCTCAGCTGGCCTCGTCTCGGGGGCGGGGCCGGAGGCGGGCAGGGGGCGGGACCGCGGCCGCTCCTCCCC